TCTTTGGCATGAAACTCCACACATGTGCACGTACGTGGAAATGCAGCATGAACGGCTGAAGCTGTTTCCTACTTTCCTACCAACGTGTAAAGATATGAGGGGTGAGTCCCGCCTGCTGACGGTGTCATACATCGTTAATGTGTCGGTTTCTGTGTCTGCACGCAGGGCCTGTGCCGTCGCCGCCCTCCAAGACGTGTGCGAGTACATCAGCAGGGAGCAGGGTCAGGTGGTGGTGAGTCAAACTTTCATTTCTCGTTTAAAACAATAATTTCCTCCAAACTGCTCAGCAGCACATTTTTGTTTGTAGTGGACGCACAAACACAACATTACAGTGACAAATCAGATCTCCCTAAAACGCTGTGAACACACGTCATCACATCCTTGTGAGCAGCTGTTAAAGTCGGTCAGTGTGGTCTTATTAAGTTCATCTCTTGAAGGTTTTTGATGCCACGAACACCACGCAGGACCGCAGGGAGGTCATCCTGAACTTTGCTAAAGAAAACGGCTACAAGGTTAACTTTCTGTCTTTATTAAAAATAGAAACGTGTTGGTCAAACCTCTGTGACAGCTTTCGTTTCCCTTCCTGTTCAGGTTTTCTTTGTGGAGTCGATATGTGATGACCCCGACATCATCGCTGAGAATATTAAAGTAAGTGAGCCGCGGCGCTGCTTGGAGCCGGGATCCGCTGCGCTTTCAGTTTGTTTTTGTTGGGCTGAAGCGAGCTCGCTGTGCCAGCCCGCGGGGGTCTTGGCAGGATCTGGACGGGTTTTTGTTCCACAACAAAGACATGTGGAGAAACCCTTCCTGCAGCGTCTGTTTCTCTTGTTTTCTCTTCAGTTTGGCTCGTTTCAGACTTCCTGTTGTGCGTGCAGCTCACGTCTCTCTCAGCATGTGCGCTGCTTCAGTCCTGACTGTTCTCTTTCTGCCTGCAAACAGCAAGTGAAGCTGAGCAGCCCCGACTACGCCGGCTGTGACAAAGAGGAGGCCGTGGCCGACTTCCTGAAGAGGATCGACTGTTATACGATGACCTACGTCCCCCTCGATGACACCAAGGACAGGTGACTGCCTCTGCTGTCAGCTTCTGAGTCACATCCACACCTCGTGGTTCAGCGTGGAGGCAGATCAGCCACACTCTCTGCTCATGCTAAACTCATAAAATAAGCTCACACAGAGAATTTGAAACTCCATCATCATCACATCGATCACTCTGCACAGTCGATACTGGTTTGAGTTTATGCCTCTGAAGCCCAGTAAATATGACAATATGTTTAAATTGTAATAAATTGTGGAGCGAGAGTTTTACGTTGGTCCAGTGGTTGCACGAGCCAATAACACGGCAGGATTCCTCACATGACTGTGGCTCAGGAGGCTGAGCGGTTTGCCCACTAATGGGACCGTCTGTGGTTGAGGTCTGAGTCGTCCCTGAGCGTCCATCACACTGAGAACAAACAAAATGCGTGTGCATTAAGTACAAATGTAACTAAGTACAAATGTAACTAAGTACAAATATGATGGCAGAAGAAATGAACAACTTTAAAGATGAAATCTTTATAGCAGCTTCACATTGATGCATCGCTGGATGACGGGTTGTTGGTCCTGCGTCTTCGGACTGGGCGATCTGTGTCTCTGTTACGTAAACGCACCGTCGTGTCCAGCAGAGGGCAGGAAGTAAAGAGGGCTGACACTTCTGGGTCTCTTGTCCTCGTCTTTCTGCAGGAACTTGTCTTACATTAAAATCTTCAACGTGGGCAGCAGATACCTGGTGAACCGGGTCCAGGACCACATTCAGAGCCGGATCGTCTACTACCTCATGAACATCCACGTCACCCCGAGGTCCATCTACCTGTGTCGCCACGGTGAGAGTGAGCTGAACCTCGTGGGTCGCATCGGAGGCGACTCTGGGCTTTCCTCTCGCGGGGCAAAGGTTAGTTTCTGTTTTGTTTTGTTAAATGCACCTGTGGTCTCGGTTCATGTTGTTGTCAGTGAGATTTGTCTCTGGCGTGTCCGTCAGTTTGCCAGCACTCTGGGCACCTACATGCGTGGGCAGTGCATCAACGACCTGAAGGTGTGGACGAGCCACATGAAGAGGACCATCCAGACCGCGGAGGCTCTGGGAGTCCAGTACGAACAATGGAAAGCTCTCAACGAGATCGACGCCGTACGTAAAGAAACGGCCGCTTCACGTAGATGATTTCTGCTCACTTGTAGGAGACGAGTCTGACTTCCTGTGTGTTTCGCTTCAGGGGGTTTGTGAGGAGATGACGTACGAGGAGATTCAGGAGCATTTCCCCGAGGAGTTCGCGCTGAGGGACCAAGACAAGTATCGCTACCGCTACCCTAAAGGAGAGGTGGGTGTGGACCCTGCTTACACCTGCTGGCCAGCAGGGGGCAGCTGCTCTGGCTGTGTAGTAGGAGTCACTATGAGTTTAGGTCTCTGTTGTATGTTTTACTGAATAAAACATTAAAGTGATTAAAAATAAATAAATCTGGTCCCACTTTGAGTCGGATAATAAATCCGAGTGTTTGATGACAAGAGGAGCCTCGTCCAGCTTCACGCGTTGACAGCAAAGTGACTGATGTCTAACTGTGTGTGTCTCAGTCGTACGAGGACCTCGTTCAGCGTCTGGAACCGGTCATCATGGAGCTGGAGAGGCAGGAGAACGTTCTAGTCATCTGTCACCAGGCAGTCATGAGGTGTCTGCTGGCCTACTTCCTGGACAAGAGTGCTAGTAAGTGGCTTTGCTGAGGCTCGCCGTTACGCTCGTGTTTGTGATCGAAGGGTGATTAAAACCAATGTTGTTCACCCTATGAACGCACTGCTGCACAAGATCACATCACATTTATCTTTCACAGGATTTTTTTGATAATGAAACAAATAAACAATGACAGGTTCCCCGAGTTTATTCCTCTGTGGTTAGTGCTGGCAGCAGTCACACTGTGGATAAACAAACATTTGTGTCTCTGTGTTCAGACGAGCTGCCGTACCTGAAGTGTCCTCTGCACACGGTTCTGAAACTCACTCCAGTCGCTTACGGTCAGTCTCGCCGCCTTCTGCCTCTGACTTTAACGTCCTCTGTTGCATTAAAACAAGCTCTGCAGCGTAAACTAGCAAACACAAAGTAAGATGATGAAAGTCGTTTTTGAACGGCGTGCTGGTGGAAGAAGTCACGGCGTGCAATCACAGCGTCCGTCTGTTTCTCCCTCAGGCTGCAAAGTGGAATCCGTCTTCCTGAACATCGAGGCCGTCAACACACACAGAGACAAGCCGGTGGTAAATATGAAATATGATTTTTCTTTTAAACACAAACGGCTGAACACGTTGTAAATGAAGCAGCCTGCATTGATTCAAACGCTGCGACTCTGCATCAGACTCAGTTTGACTTTCTTTCCCAGAACGTCGACGTGGACCGAGACCCGGCCGAGGCCCTGGAGACGGTGCCTGAGCACATCTAGAGGAGGCCGGCAGGGAGCTCGTTTTTATTCACTGGTGGAAAGTGGCCTTTTATTGTTTTTTAATTCAAGTAATCTTAGAGATCATCGCTGTTGTGACTGTTGCTGTTGTGACTGTTGCTGTTGTGACAGTTTGAAGCTTCACAACACTGAAAATGAGACGTTTCTCTGTGGTAGCCTTTCCGTTGTCGATGCACTTTATAACGCAGGGCCGAGGCCGGATGAAGAGGAGGTCTTTTCTACTGTGAGGAAAACAAAGTAGTGCTGAACGTGTGCCGGGGGTCTGCGTTACCGTTTCCCCTCCTCGACTCTTCCTCACCTGTACCTGTGCTGTAACCAGTGTCAGTCTGAACCGTCATTGTAGGAAGTTAACTGTCCACGCTGACACACACGTGGTGCTGGTTGGCGAGTAGAGCGTCGTTGCAGAAGCGAAGCTGAAAGATCCTTAAAGGACAGGTTGATATGATTTTTAGAGTTGCTGAAAAAGTTTTTATTCCTGGCAGTAAAACCGTCATGTGTGCTCTGGTGGTAAATGTACCAACATTTCTATTCTCATCTAACCGACTTCTTAAAGCCACATTCACCCATTAAAGCCGGACTTCCACCATCACGCCCGTGGGCCTTCTTCCAGAAATAAAACTCTGAGTCGTGTGCTTGGCGCCTCGATGCTGATAAAACACCCAGAACACGCGCTCGAAAACATCAAGAAAACACTTGATGATCATCACGAAAAGTTAAAACAAAGTCGAGACAGAAAGCAGTTTAAACGCATGTAAAGCTGGAACCCAGCTATCGCCACCTGGTGGCCTTCAGACAGAATGCAGGTGGATGCATCCATGTTTTTACCGTGTCTGCGCCTCAGACTGTTTTTTCTGATTACCCTCAGCCTGTTCAGAAACTGTGATGATAGTTTAGTGTTTTAATCTCTTTTTAAACGGCCCGCGTTCATTTAAAAAAAAAAAAAGGAGAAAAAAAAGGAGGAAAACGACCCCTCCCCGGATATCGACAGGCGACTGGAATATAACCCGAGGGGTCGGTGATTCAGCAGGACTGGCTGACAGTGTTTGTATGAATGTGGTTTTTGGTGGTTTTCAGTATTCTTCATTGTAAAAGATCAAACAGAAACGAGGCCTTCAAAGCACACGACCCATAATTCCTGTGTAAAACATGAGGGGACAGCTGGTCCTGTAACTGCCCGATACCTCAATGTGCCTCATGAACACAAAATCCACGACTGCTCTATGCACCACACACTCGTTAGTGGGGGAGGGAGGTCTGGTGCATCTTTTTTATTTACACTGACTGTTCGTGGTCCTGATGATGTGTCCGTCCGCTGTAGTCCTGCTCTTTGTCTCCTGGACTCGCTGATCCAGGATCACTGGTATCATGAACTCACCTCAGGCAGGTTGATGTTAGGAGGGCGAGGGGTTCATTACAGGCAGCACAGACTGGTGTCGTACTCAAAGTCACTAAAGATAAAAGCATCAGTGAGATGCTGGAATCGAAACAGCTCCATCCTGTGGTCATTAGAGGGACTGCGTTTGTGGTTCCAAGCGTCGGCTTGCTGCTCGGATGAAACGCTTAGAACTGTGCTGCAGGATTAACAAGCTTCATGATAATAGTGAAGCCAAACACCTGCGTAGGCTTCTGGTTAGAGCCACTTTGCAAAAGGAGTCGCACCACCCGTGTTAACACCTTCAGGTGTTCTTAATAATAGTAAACAGGATCAATAAGCTGATGAGACTAAATATACCTCAAAGCCTGCAGTTTAGGGATGTGCTCCCCTCAGAAACTGTAGAAAAACTGCACATTTTCCAGAGTAGGCCCAGGGCATGTTTAAATCGAGGTTACCATGGTGATATGCTGTAGTTAGGTGAGCCAGGTTCATGATACCAGTAAACCTGGATACCGACTGACACTATTACTCAGATGTGATTGGAGGCCTCTGTGTGCTGGTGTGAAGCATTGTGTTCTGAGTTGTGTAGCAATAGAAAATCAAACCGCCTCAGGGTCTCCTCGTTTCCACAGCGTGACAGTTTTACTGTGAGTGGTAGCAAACCTGCAGTGTTGAACAGTAGAGTAACCCCGCCCCCGTGCCGCTGTGTCACCAGCAACCAGTCAAATCAATGCAATCACTGTTGTTGGATCAATTATAAAAACCTTTATTTTATAAACGTG